ATTAAAACCACTACCTACTCCTAAAAAGATTGTAAACCAAAGTATATGTTTGTGACGATATGAGGGTTCAGCCTCCTGATGAGTCGGTGAAACTCCGACGAAACAGTTTGTCACAGCCCCTCGTTTGTTGTCCTCTTCTCTCTCTCTGCCTACGGTTTACCGGGCAGTTCTGTTTGTGACGATATATATATTTCGTTTTGCTGTTTGCTAAATGCTTGGAAAATCTTATGTGTGTTCCCTGCATTGCTTTGCTAATCAGGGACAAGGTTGAAGTACAAGCCGGGGGTTGTCATCGGTGGAAGTGGGCTGTTTCATGACTGTGGAACGAGCCGAGCAATTGGCTACTTTGTCGAGCCTCTCATCATCCTGGCACTGTTTGGGAAGAAGGCCCTTTCAATAACACTTCAAGGTAAACGCCATAACTTGATTAGGTTGTTGTTCCGTTCCGTCCTTATAGTTAGTTGCACACCTATAGACCACCATCCTATATCCTTGTTTGCTTTGTGGGAAAGGAGTGCCTCTCTTTGGTCCTACTCTTTTCCCTGTTTTCTTTGTGTGTGTATTGTAGTCTTTTTTTCTTTTCTTTTCTTTTCTTTTCTTTTCTTTTCTTTTTGTGTGTGTGTCGTCATGTTCGCTATACACAACTCCACAGGGTTGCACCCCCCTGTTATGAACCTGGTTGTTTGTCGCCAGCAGACCAACATTCGCTCACATAGACATCCAAGTATGCCCGTGCATACACAGAAGGAAGGGGAGAGGATGGGAGTATCACACCGCACAGGGAAAGCCGAGTAGATCACATTCAGGAAACAATGAAGCAACGATAGTCCACACACAGTATATACACTGTTTATTAAACTCAGAGTCTCAAAATGTCAGAATAACCCCAGAGGGCCAGAACCATGGTGTGCTGCTCAGGAATGAGCAGCGCTTCACTCCCCAACCCTGAGTAACCGCTATAACTACCCCTGAGTCCCTGAAACATCAAGCGCCACCCAAATACTGCCTCCAGAGGGAAGCGCCACCCTGAAACAGGCCTCTGTGGCCAAGCGCCTCTCAGAGGATGAAGAAGAAGACCAGCGCCACAGTGTCTGATGATGATGAAGTGCCAGGGGACTTCCCGAGTGGAAGTCTGTAGCAGCGCCACCTCTCCTGACAAAGATGAGTTCTAAGGAAGAAAGCGGCAGCTATGGCTGCAGTGCCAAACTCCCTGAGACCCTACTCCTGAGGAGGGTTCAACAGGGCACCAGCTTCTCTCACCTCACTGTCTGGATTCAATTGCTCCGATACCACTCCAGTTCGTGCGTTGCGCAGCAGCTATGTACAGGGTACCAACCGCCAAAAGCCCTGAACCGATGTGTACAATCTATCTATAGACTACACTAGCCTAGACATGACTTAGACAGGACTGACTGGACCGACCGGTACCGTTTCCGTTACGACCTCTCGGCCTCTACCTACCCGGCTATAGGCTATAGGACCGTCTATCAGCATAGGCCTTTAGGGCCTGTCTGTCCAAGGGTAGCCTGGGCCTGCTATTTGCAGTTAGGGTAGCTGTAGGAAACTTCAGTTAGTACGGGCCTCTATTTTCCCGAATTTACAGATATATCCCTCACGAATTTTCCCTACAGGTAGGTCTCTTGGTTAGCCCTCAGCCAAACAAAATTACGAATCTAACCTACCTCTGGTACAACCTCGAATAGACGGGTCACCAGCGGCAGAAAACAGCAAGTCATTGCACCCGGACGGTCGGCAGCCCTTGACTGGTCGGCTGCCGACCCGCACCCTGCCCAAAAACAGAAACACCACCAACACCTCCATAGCGGCCCTCTTTACCCCCATACTCCCCCCCAACACCCCCAAACCGCCCCCAACACCCTCATTACCCTCACCAATACCCCCTATACCCCTCTATACCCCCTTTGTAAAAATAGAAATAGCCTCTGTTAGGACTTGTCCTGGATCATTGCAGTCTACGTGGCAGCTTGATGAGGTTCTTGATTTTGTCAAAAAATATCTCTGCACGAGGGCTCGGAAGAGCAGCAAAGCCTTCCGAGAAAAAAGTAGCAGCGGTAGCACATTACCAGCAGCTGTTGCTATCGGAGTATCAGCACAAAACAGCAGTTTCACAATCTCAGTAGCAGCAGTAGCAGCGGGAAGTACGTGCTAGAGAGAGCTTGCAGCAGTTTCAAATTATCACAAGATGTGTTTCCGAGGAGGTAAGCTCTAGAGAGAGTCTGACAGATCTTTAGAACACCTCGCTAAGAGAAGTTCAAACTCTGGTTCATTTCCACATGAAAGGCGATGACTGTAGTCTTCTTAGGGTTTGTTGATTCATGTGGCCCTCTCTGGTTCATTTCCACATGAAAGGCAATGACTGCAGTCTTCTTAGGGTTTGNAGGGTTTGTTGATTCATGTGGCCCTCTCTGGTTCATTTCCACATGAAAGGCAATGACTGCAGTCTTCTTAGGGTTTGTTGATTCATGTGGCCCTCCCAAGTATTAAAGAGACGGAAACAAAATTGATGAAAACGAAATCTATTCCAAAACCTGAATGGCGAGGTTCAGGCAGCCCCGGCGGTGTTATGTTCATGCTCAGCAAGCAGGCATCCAGTTGTAAAACTGACCAGGTTCATACTTACGACCACACAGCACAGCACCCTGCGACTCTAGTCTGTGGCTGATGTGATTTTGTTACTGATGCAGAGCCTCTCTGGTGAGTTCATTTTTGGGGGAGCTCAAGTACAGCCCCCCTGGCAAGTTCTTTGCCGTGAACTCTTGAAGTACAGCCCCCCTGGCGAGTTGTTTGCTGCGAACTCAAGTACAGCCCCCCTGGCGAGTTGTTTGCTGTGAACTCAAGTACAGCCCCCCTGGCGAGTTGTTTGCTGCGAGCTCAAGTACAGCCCGCTGCGTGCTCTGACACACGAAGAACAAAGGAACTGTTTAGCAAGACACTAACAGGCAATGGACCAACTGAACCTGTACACTATTGTACACTATGGTACAGACTGCCGAGTTGGTTAACATATCATCCTGCAAAACACCATGATACCAAACACACTGGGAGAGCCGTGTGATGAGCGACCATCTTGCATGATTCGGAGAGCACTTGTTACGACACTGGAACTCTCGACTGTATTCGTGTTTTAACTAAACGATTACGTACCCATAAAAAAAAGGTCCGGGATGAACTGAACTAATGTATTATCGTAGGCAATTATTAAGCTATAGCTGTTTGTCCAGGCGCCCGGGCACCCAACTTGTGCCTGGATACATGTGCGGGTGCTGGGCTGGGCATCGACCCCGGGCAGGGCTCGGGGCAGCCCCAGTGCCCCAAAAAGAAAAAAATCAAAAAATTCCAGAAAAAAAAATGTGGTGTAGAATTGCAATACAAACGACTTTTGGCTGAGGGACACATCTGAATTCCTCACGGAATCAAAGATAAAAGAAAAGAAAACAACAGAATCAGACTAAGGCACCCCCCTTTAAACCCCCTTAGCCCCTTAAAAACCAATTTATACCACCCTCTTCCGCACCCGCCCTTGACAGCCAACTCTCGAAAAAAGATTCGGGCTGCTCTGGCCATGCTCCGGAAACCTCCCCCC